GTTTGTTTGGCGAGAAATTTGGTGACCTGAGGGTGCATATAAGAGTAGTTCCAAATAACATATATAATCGTACTGGAAAAGTCATTTTGTACAAATTCTTTATCGAGGCTACAATTCAACAATTGTTGTTAAAAATGCCTCAAACACATTATCACGGCTAACTGGATGTCTGAACATCACCAAACTGTTTTTTTCCAACATATGATTGCATGTTATACCCATTTTCATTAATTCTATGGACTGGGAAAATAAATTTCTGTGGGAAAAAACTGTTTCTATTTCTGTTCATGGTATGTTAAATATAATATGTATAATTAAATATTTGCAATGAAAAACCATTCTTTTTTAAAACAAAAAAAAATTGCTAAAAGTATATTTTAGGGTACCCCTTGGTGAATTTTGGTGGTACATGGATGCCGAGTTTGTGCAATTCTTCAACTTATTATTTTGGCTTGCACAATGGCAATTTTTGAGCCAAAAATCACCACTACACAAAGCCAAAATAACAAGAATTGCATAAACTCGATATCCATGTACACATCGACCTAATTTCATTTAAAAAAAAATCCCTGAATTGAACAAAAATGGCAATGCGCACTCCCTTGACTTTATCTATGTACACGTCGACCTATTTTCACTTAAAAAAAATTCAATAATTGCTTAAACTTGCATTGCGCACTCCCTTCACTTTGTCCATGTACACATCGATATATATATTTTCACTTAAAAAGTCAAAGGAGCACCCAATTCTACAATACAGACAAACAAAAAAATACATAATCTCAATCAACTACATTTTAAACCAAACAATAAAATAACGTAAAAAAGGAAAAACAAGTTATACATTTAAGCGCTATAAAAAACAAATATCCACTCACCCTATTTAAAAGTTCTTTCGTCTTTAGTCTGTGGCCACAAAATTTCTTAACAGCATCCAAAAACTTCTTAAAATTATTTGAACTCGAATCCGTATTTCGGCATTGCCACATCTGAAGCTTTCTTCCTACCCTTGGCCCGAATGATTTTGGTTGGCGATGCATATCGATATGTACATGGGCAAAATCAAGGGAGTGTGCAATGCCAAGTTTGTGCAATTCTCTGATTTTTTTTAAATGAAAATAGGTCGATGTGTACAATGGTACCAAGTTTGTGCAATTCTTTGACTTGTTATTTTCAAGTTGGCGATTTTGAGAAACGTGCGAAGCAGTGGGTGATTATGCACTTTTTCAGTTTGTCGCCAAGGGTGTGGGTTCTTCTAGGATTTTACCCATCGATCTATATTCACATAAAATGTCAAAGGAGCAGCCAACAAAAAATATATAATTTCAATAAGCTAAATTTTAAATCAAACAATGAAATAACATAACAAAGGAAATTTATCTTACACAAAGGAGATATCCACTCATCTTATTGACAAATTTCTCTGTCTTATGTCAAACAAAATTCCTTAACAGCATCCAAAAAACTTATTAAAATTATATGAACTAGAATCCGTGTATATAAATTCACAAGAAAAAGATTAAAAAATATCCTCCGTAGTGACGGTATCGGCTGACATTCGACCACACGCATTTCCTTCCTACATCCAGAACACTTATAATGGCACTAAGTAAACCTTCATTTACACACCACTCAATTAATGCTCTTTCCCCCTTTCATTCTAAATCATAAAGAAACTTCAAATTAATCTTTCCACATTCAGTCATTTTACCATCTAAACCACTACAGAAACTTCAAATTAATTTTGCCACATTCAGACATTTTACCATCTAAACCACAAAGCAAGCAATGTACCTCCTGACCAACACACACCACAAGCCCTTACAAATCTTTTCCCAATCATTCAAAATGTACCGCAATCTTACGACCGATTACATCCTAATAGGGTTTTCATAACATTCAACTAATCAGGTTACCGTAAATGAAACAACAACTTCGCGATAATATAATGGACACCCTTCAATCTACTCTAAACCCTGCTAGTGCATTCTTCTAGTGTTAATGTTTATTATTGCTTCTCCTGGCCAACATCTTTTTCATTTAAGAAGCTGTAGCCGTACCATTTCGAGCATCATCTTTAAGAGAATCCCATCCATCATGAAACTATTTAAACCTTTCATGAGCACATTTAAAACATATACCTTCGTCTCTGTAATCTTGCTTCAACATGTCATGATTTTCTTTCACAGATTTACTAAGTTTGAAACAGAACTTAATTTTTTTTTGCTTTATTTATAGCCTTTGCATATTGAGTGTTACTAACAGAAATCTGTAACACTTATTACTCTCTCTCTCTCGTGTACTCTGTGTCTTTCAGACATGTTCAAACATGTTATGGAGTATCTTACCCACCCATCTATGACATCATTTACTGAACTTTATTGTCATATCTTGAAAGCTAATTATTAAGTCATACATTTGTTATCTAAATATCAATAAATGAATTGGCTAAAAATAAAATTTATCTTTTGTGAAAGTGCTGGCTGGAGAAATATGTCATTGGGATGAAATGCTGCCTTCCCTAATAATTACCCTAAAAATGATCAGCATAACAGTTTAGCAATTCCAGGATGATTTCTGGTCATTTAATAATTATAACTATTCAAATTGCTTATCCGTTTATACTAAAGTAAACATTTTATTATATGAACAAATGAAGACATTTGCTTCATACCAAAATTGGAAACATTGCTTTCAAATTTCGTGATCGTATTATCTTATTGCAATTGACGTTATTTATTGTAGCTAACCCTATTACTCTATTGCAGTCTGTGCAATACATATACCTCTTTCCAACATACCCCAACATTTATTTGTCAAGAAAATATTCTGAATTTTAATATTTACATTGATTCAAGAAGTGTTTTGCTCTCATAAAATATTATCAGAAAAATTCAGTTTTTCAGAGTTTATCAGAAAAATTCTTAATTAAGTGTGAATTTTAAGAAATTTAAATACATTTGCAGTACAGTCAAAAGTCGTTAATTCGGACACCCATAACCCGAACCTCAAAGCTAAAATCTTTCTGTGCATGCGCATAGGCGTTTACGCGTGCGCACAAGACCTTTACCACTGTGCATATGGGTGTGCGCAAGAGCAGAATACGTTTTCGCGTGAGCGTTTAATGTATAACGGACGGTGTAAGCTAAAATTATCTAATTATCTATTTCAGTTAATGTTGATGATTGCGTTGTTCCTTAATCTTAGAATTGGATCTGGCTTATTATTTTTTGCAGACTGTAAGAGCAATTTTATAAAAGTAAGCTTGAACTTTCGATTATGTCAAACAGAATTTCCGATGCTGGAGCTCCCAAAGGATCTACAAAACGAAAGTATGTTTCGATGTCCATCAAACAAAAAGTGGAATTGCTGCAAAAGATGAATAAAGGCATATCCTTTATTTATTTAACCGTTCCGAAATCTGTTTATCAATTTCACGCTGCTCTGCGCGGGAGGGGGGGGACATCGCGGCGCGCAATGAACTGGAAGTTGATCTGTCAGCACTATCGTTATCTTTGGGGCAGATTTTTATTTTATTCGGCTTATAATTCCTTACTAAATGTAGTATTTCATCTCGATGTACTCCGTCTTTGATGTGCTTTAAATCAAATTCCTCGTCATTATAAATATCACGAATACAAATCAAATAGTTTTCTGGATGCAATTTTCTAATTTCAGCTATGCGTAATGTATGCTTTACGCATGCGCGCATTGAAAGAAATGTTTAATAAAGTAAACAAATAAATATTAAGCTTTTTTTTTTTTTTTTTTTTTTTTTTTTGTAAATTTTGATACCCTTTAGATCATAATTGCTCATTATTTTATAAATTACGGTTTCATATTTTTAATTTTATAATTTCTGCATGCCATCTTACCAGATTTAAACTGATGATCTATAATCCGGAATCGCCGAAGTCCCGACGAGTCCGGATTAAAGACTTTTGACTGTACTTGTTATGTAGCGGCATAACATTTGCAACATCAGTATTAATAAAAGTATGTTCTTTTTTTAGTATTTCAAATATGCAGGATATAAACAGCAAAAAATCTAGTACTGTAATACTTGTCATCAAGCAATGTCAAAGCATACTTGTTAACAAAACTCTAATATTCTGAGTTATGAATTCTACTGCTGAAGTAACACGTTCGCTGCCGATCACACACTGGTGCATGACTGGCGTCATTGCTGAAAAGCCAATCGCGCTCTTGCGCATGTTGTAGTGTGATGTCCCAAGTGCCAGTCATGTGTTGGTGTGGGAAAAGCAATGTCTCATTGTTGATTTTTATGTTCAATCGGCATTACGTTTTGAATATATATGTTGGTATTAGCATGGAGTGAAAGTTGGAAACTAGTTGTAAATGTATGTGGTTTGGACTGGAAACAAAGTTTCATTTCCCACAAAGATCATACACGAATAACATTCTGAAGTATATAGTTTGCAATAATATGATTGTAACTAAACAGATTCATTTGTAATATATATATATATTTGTTTGTGATATAGTTTCACGCCAAAATAATGCATATTGTTACTTATTTTGATCCACTTTTAAATGCCATGCCGCAGTGCGTAATGTGGCATTGAAGAAGTAATTTTTCCTCTAGTGCCCTTCGCGCACTAGCGCGTAGTTATAAAATTTTATGCTTAAAGGCTTAGTAATCAATGTGGTACTCATAATAATCTTTTATTGGCTCTATTAAATCATATTTCTTGTAATAACTAAGTCGGCATATGGGTACAATCTATTTCTATGAGACAGCATTAACTATCAATATAGCCTCACTTGACTGGCAGTGAAAGTGTTAAAACATCACTTGTGGGCAAATTATAGAAAATTGCATTTTTTTCCTTCCTGTTTTATTGGATTAAAAAATCTTCTTACTTTTCTGATTCATGAATTTATTTTTGCTAGATCAAAATGTATAATTACAAGAAGGAGTATCTATAATATGCAATTTGATTTTTAGCAATATTTATGATATATAAATTGATTTTTAGCATATATTGCTGAACGTCAGAACAGCTATCGATGGGTTTCAGATGACTATAAGAAAAAGCTAGAGACTACAAGACAAGTTTCCTCTGAGGAAGAAAGTGCCTACCAGTATTCAAGTACTCCGAAAAGTGGTGTTTCATTTAGTTTTAAGGTTCCAGATTCGGAACTGAAAAGAACTGTAATATCTGAAAATGATTCAGTCTATGCAGAGTAAGAATTATGATTTAATTTACACTTTTTTCCTTTTTAAATTTTCTTTTTATGATTTTTATTATCGAATATTTCTTATGATGTGTTGGACAGTAAAAATCTGACTATCCAGTGTTCAACTAATTAAAAATTTTAAGCAACCTGAATCTTTTAAAAGTTAATATTTCTTTTTCTTTAAGAATATTTAAGGAAATAACAGACTTGTCAGCCATCATAAAGCACTTATAAGCACTTATGGAACTATGACTTCGAACCTGCTTATAACATCTTAAATATGAATACAATTACAATGCTGTCTTTTAGATGATGAGATGTTGATTACCACCCTACTGTTGTACCCATAATAGCATTGTTCTAAGCATTCTTTAGTAGGGCATGGTTAGTATGGTGCAGGAACATATGAGATTACAAAGTTCAGAGCAAACATTTAGTGTGCTTAAAATAAGAATTATTTTCATCAGTATGTTTAACATTTTCAACAAATGGAAACTGTCTCCAGAAAGTGCAATTTAATGCCAATGATAGATAAGCATGATATGACAAAATTTCATTCTGCCTTAGTTTTCTATAAACCCATTTAATTCTCAATCAGTTTAGTTTTTGTTAAAAAATACTGTAAAGTCTGAGAAGATCATGAATGCTTTACTTCACGAACAAATTATCTGTTTATTCAAGAAGGCAGCAACAGTGAGACTCCAAATCTTGGCAATGTAGATCGATCATTCATGATAAAATGCATAAAGTACTTGCAGAAGTTACGTGAAAATCTTAGACAAAGATTTAGAAATGAGTATCTTGCTCTTTTAGTCTACAAGGGAGTCAGAAGAAATGATATTTTAAACATTCTGAATATTGTTCTTAATTGAGCATAATCATGTCTGACGCATTGATTTTCCTCTTGGAATAATTTAGAAATTTATCCTTGAAAAGGTAGTGTTCCGAGAGTTGAGAGAGTAAGAACCTACAAGGGTGAGAGGGTACATCCTTTTCAAAGTATCCATTTAGAAGTGTCAGCAAAAACTGATGTTGATGTCATGAAGTCTTCTAGAAAAAGTGACATATCTGTCAGAACTATTCCGACTCTTCTGTTGACGTGAGACATCCTCCCAGAAGTAGATCAGGAAGAACCATAATTCCTCATCAAATGGATTTATGAACTTAGTTTTTAATTTTTCAACTTTTGCAATTGTGTAGGACATAAGTTTTTCATTTACAAGTTTGAAAATTATGCTTATTCTAGGTTTGAATTGCACAGTTTGTAAATTTCACTTTGCAAGGTGGGAGTACATTAAAGATTGTACAATAATTAATATCATTATTTAAACTTAACTACTACTTCACCTATGATTTTCAACTTCTGTTTTTGTTATTACTTTTCTTTTTTGCTGAATGGCAACAATTATTACTGTTACAGTACAAAGTCTGTAATCCAGACTCATCGGGACTTCGGCGATTCCGGATTATAGATCATCAATTTAAATCTGGTAATATGGCATGCAGAAATTATACAATTAAAAATATGAAACCGTAATTTATAAAATAAAGAGCAATTATGATCTAAAGGGTATCAAAATTTAAAAAAAAAAAAAAAAAAAAAAGCTTAATATTTATTTGTTTACTTTATTAAACATTTCTTTCAATGTAAGTTGTTTAAGTTGCTTCATTTTTTGTGCTAATACTTTCTCTTTAATTCTATTAACAGACATAATTTCTTGTTCAGTTACAAGTCATGTAATTGCTGTGTCAAGAATACCGACTAACTTGTCAATCGAAATTTTTTCATTTTCAATAATTTCTCTGTCACTTTTTTCACTATTGGAAGCTCGCATGGGTAAACGCATGCGCAAGTTTGTGGCTTTGAGGTCCGGATAATGGATGTCCGGATTACGGACTTTGTACTGTATTAAGAAAATGTGCTTTTGTGTAATGTGTTTTTATGTAATGCAGTGTTCTCTGCTTATTTTGATGTTGTTTATATTAGCAATGCTAATTTAAGGCTGCATTTTAACTGAATAAATAGTTGTTTGATTAATCTGGAGAACTTGTAGTTCATATGTGTGATTTGAAAGGCGTGCGTAACTTTTTGTCTGCCGTTGTTCTTTTCAATCACTCCAATAATGCAATTGCAAGCTGCAGCATAAGCATTTTCACTGACAATGTCATGCTTCAATTTAGAAATATTTTAAAACTTAGACAATAATAAATCAAAATTTGAGTGAAACAGAGGCCCATTGAGTCTCAAGCAGAGTGGCACAGAGAAAAGGTAAAAGATGTCTCCTAAATACAGTTATGTGATGTTTTTACAGAAGAGACTTTCTCATCCAAACAGTATCATCTTCTTCAGTTTCAACATATGTAGTTCACTCTTCTCTCACATTATAAGAATTTTGCTACTTATTTGTTTTACCCAAGCATTTTTTTTTTTTTTTTTTTTTTTTTTTTAAGTTATTAAAATTAGGAGCCTGTTTTCAATGAAACAATGTGCAATTGTGGAGTATTTTCAAAATTATGGGATCTTGGAATCAAAAAAGTATGAATTAATGAAATTTAAAAAAAAAATTGTTTTGTTTGGACCAATAAAGCTTCAATTTTGGTAAGCCTTTTTGTATTCAGCTATAATACTGAATGACATTGTATTTTGCATCTTTGTATCCAAACATTACTGAATGTCAAATTATGTCAGTGACAGAAAATGTATTAAAAAAACTACATAATGACCAAGAAAACTCTTGTCTCTAAAAATATAGTGGCAGCTACTAAATAATGATAAATAAAGAATGAATAATGACATAATAAGAATTTCTATGTGACTGAAATATAAAATTTCTGGAAAAGCCAAACATTCCAATCAATATCTTTGATAAATTAAGATCACAGAATCACTGGTTAGCAGTGGTTGGTAGTAGAATCATCATCATATATAGCAGGGGTGGCCAAAGTGCGGCTTGCGAGCCTGATATGGCTCGCACAAGCAATTTGCGCGGCTCATGCATATAAAATATGTGTATTAAATATGGTAAACTAAAAGTACTCAGTGTCCAAAAGGAAGTAATTAATTAGTTTAGACTCATTTTACAAAGTTATCAGGGATTTCTTTCTATTTAAAACCTCCTCCACTACTTCCATAATGATGTAAATATAAACTTGTAGCTTTTAGAAAATCTAGATGCAGCTCTCAAACATTTCTGAATTCAAATGTGCGGCTCTTACTGACGTGAAGTTTGGCCAACCCTGATATATAGTATTCTGTAGTGAATACCCCCTTCCTCATTATATAGCATGATAACACATTCTTGTTATTTAATTAAAAGCACTTCATCACAGTTTCTCACTTTTATGGTAGCCAACATTACCAAAAAAAAAAAAAAAAGTTTATGGTAAAGTTTATGATATAATGCTTGAAGATAGAAGATTTACAATAACAATTATGAGCTATATTTAGGGACTCTATAATTTCTGTGTGAATAGTTTGCAAAATGCAGCTAGTTAATATAATAATATATTTATATTTTTAATAGCATTAAAAACAGATATTTGCACATGTTGATGGGAAGTGCTTTTGAAGTTGGCATAATTTAAAAAATTGTCCTAGATAATTTTCAATAGTTTGATAATGAATGTTTATGGTACTTGTGTATTATCCCGTTGGCCATGAAACTGTTCCAAGTCGTGTCTCAAGTATGGGTAAGCATGGTGTAACAAGCACTTTTGTTTGATGTAGTACAAGCTGATTCTCAATAACCAACTTTGATTTTATGAACAAAGATATAAATAAACTGTTGCTGAATTTTTTTCCCTTGCAAGAAAAATTAATAAGTGAATAAAATTTGGAACCTAATTATTTTTAAAGTTATGGGATCCCGCTTTAAAAAAATGTATGTATTAATGGACACTATATTGTGTTGTATTTGATAAACAGTAGTGATTCAATAAGAAGAATTGTGAGGAGAATATCTATTCAAAGATTGCAGTTTGAAGTCAGTAGATTTGTGACTGCACTTTTTTCAGTTTCAGTAGGAAGTGGAAATTATAAAAACCTTTCTCATGAAATTTATAAATGAAGCAAGTTGCATATTTACTGTTTATTGAATAAAAAGGCATCAGTTCCTTCAGAATTCTGAAGGAATAATTGGTGCCAACTGTAGCAGAATATCTAATAACTTTCTTGGTTTGATGGAGTCAGGTTTCATGGTCAAGGGATAATATGTGAGTACCTATTTATTTTAGTAATGAGTATTTCTTTTAGTCAAGTGTATATATCAGCATTTCTTAAACTGTAGGTCGTGACCCCTGTCGATGCTGCGGGACCTGCAGCAGGGAGTCGCTAAAAAATTTAGCAGTTTTGATATTTCTTTACCTTATTATAATAATTTTACAATTACCAAATCTTTTTACACAATGTATCTGAAAATAAAGATAAGACATTACAGACAAAGGAAAAAGGAAAATGTTTTGATGCATTCTTTTTATAATAGAAACATTCATTTTACTTTCTTTGCATGTAATGCTGTCATTTTGTCTGTTACTTATTTAAAATTTTCTCATTGTTCTATGTCTTAAAATTAGAAATTAAAGTTAATGACCTAAAACGCAATAGTGAAACAGCACAAGTGAAAAAACTGACAGTTTCACACACACACGTGTGTCGAATTTGCGCAATGTTTATGAGGTCGCACAAAATTTTCGTAAATATTATGGGGTTCTGGGGGGTCATGAAAAAATCTCGGTGATAAAAAAGGGATCGCGACTGAAAAAAGTTTAAGAAGCTCTGGTATATATATATATATATCCGAAATTCTTGTTCATTAATTTTTCTAATTTCTCATAATTATGTGTGAGCAAATTAAGTAACGAATTTTAAGCTATTTAAATTATTCATAGGGAAGGATATTAAGATATAAGTTTTTATGTTTTTGAAATTTTGTTAAGAATTTTGAATACGAATTTTATAATTATTTTAAAAATGAAGTAGGTGTAAAAAATAAGTGAAATTATTACAGATACGTAATATGAAATTATGGTAAATGCATGTTAAATGTATGGGTGATTTTATGTAAGTATAGTGTATGTCGAGGGAGTACTGGGTTCCTAAGCAGAGGCCTGTAATTGCCTCTGTACAGTTGTTCCCTTTACCCTCTTCAAGTAAGATAATGTTGGAGGCTCTCATTTTATTAGTGTGTAATTTTTTTATATTATTATTATTATATTTTTTTATTATGGAATGTATTAGTGCAGTTCTCAAAGGCCAGTTACCTTAATGCAAGGAACGGAGGCCTTTTCAAGTAACTGTCTAGGCACCCTGGGCCACCACCACCACTCTCATAGAACACACGGGTTAGCTCAAGAGGACAGCCCTATTGATGGATATGTTTGTTTAGAAGTATTGCGAGGCTTCCAGTTTGGTAAAATCAGGAATTGTAAATGAAAGATGATAACGGTGAAACCATAAATTCTGAAAATCTTAATCCTATTATTTATGATGTTAAATTATAATTTATCAGTATGGAAATAAGTATCATAAATATTTATGTGCATTACATTTAATTATAAGTAATGATTATGTAAAAGTTTATTTTGTGATACTCTGTGATAACAGGAACCTTCTCTGAAGAATTATGATTATGTGAACTCTCAAACAAAAAGACTTTTGGACTGAAATGCTGAAAAATTCAATAGGACTCTAAAAATTTAAAATTTATTTAAAAAATTGATATTTATAAATTATACTTTGCAGGACAAAAATTTATGATTTATTTATTTATTTTTTTTATTTTTATTTTTATTTATTATTTTTTTTTTTTTTTTTACATTTGCTAGTGCTTTAACTCTTTCTCTTTAAAAAGGCTTCTCTGTCGCTACGCCTTTTTCTTTTTGAAGGGGTAATGTGTAAGTGTAAGATAAAAAATATGAAAGCAAACTTCTAAATTCAATTCGCTATAACCGCTTTTATTTTTTATTTCATTTGGAAACTTCATCTTTCTGCCCTAAAAATAGCTCTGTAGTTTAAACTGCGTCATTCAAATTAATTATGCCATCTTACGTAACCGCTAATGCAGATGCCTCTTAACCAATCACCAAATTGCAAACCAAAACGTTTTTCTTCGCCTTGCTTCCATCTTTCATAACTACGCATTTCAGCTTTTGCTCTCTACTGTGCTAAGATGTAATTTCGCTGGCTTGCTTTCTATCTCAACAATATCAAAAATGTAAATCTTCTGTGGAAAGGCACGACTAGAGTGCCAAGTGATTGTGGCCACAAATATCAGTTGCAAATAAAAATGTAATTAAAACTGCCTCGACTGCCAAGTTCTTTAGATATTACCAAGTTAGCATTACTAACGTACTACGCAATCGAAATCTTCTTCAATATAGGTCTAATCACGCATCTACAGTGTTCAGTCTTTTCCTTTTGCTTTTAATATGACATATATATAATAGTAAAATATTTTAAAGAAGTATATACATTCCTTAACCAGTGTTAATTAGTGCATTCTCTAAAAGCTAATAATTGTCAAGGTGATTTGATAAATTTGACATTTCTATTATTATGTTTAGTCATATATTTGAGGACATTATTGTTATAATGTGCATATAGAAAATAAAACAGTGTCATCTACATTTTTGAAATAAATATTTATTATATTTCAGAATGCTAAAAGAAGATGCCACTGCCTGGGAATTAGGAAATTCATGGCCATTTAGCTGTTATTTCCCATTTCCAGATAAACCAGGTTTTCCTGGCTTTACTGATATATCTCCTGAAGAACTTAGATATGAGGCTTATAAAGCAAAAGAAAATAATTCATTTGAATCATATGTAAGTTAGAAACTTGCTTTATGTTGTTCACACTGTTTACAGTTTTTCTGGTATACTAATTTTGGATATATTTTCTTAAAATTAGATGTTATTATTCTAAAATAGCTAGTTAGTTTCCTAGCTAGGAAACAGTAACAAATACATTGTTGTTGTTTTTGAAAGTTACAAGTTGATAAAATAAATTAGAATGCCATGCAAACTGATGACAAATGCCATGTATGTAAATTTGTATTGCGATGCAACACAAGCCTATTTCAAAGTAAGCCTATTTCTTTTTGGACTGTGGATAGAGTTTTGTCAAACCAGAGGAAAGTAATGTAAATGAATGAACATAGTTGATTTGTATAAATTTCTAAGTGATTGTTTGTCTCTGCTTGACATTCTACAATAATTTTTTCTGCCTTATAAGATTGAAGGAAATTTTTTTTCTTTATACAGTCAAAAGTCGTTAATTTGGACACCCATAATCCGGACCTCAAAACTAAAATCTTTCTGCGCATGCGCCGCGTTGACGCATGCGTGTAGGCGTTTATGCATGCGCACAAGACCTTTACGACTGCGCATATGCGTCTGTGCAAGCGCAGAATACGTTTTTGCGTGCGCGTTTAATGTATAACGGTAATAAGCTAAAATTATCTATTTCAGTTAATGTTGATGATTGCGTTGTTCCTTAATCTTCAAATTGGATCCGGCTTGTTATTTTTTGCAGACTGTAAGAGCAATTTTATAAAAGTAAGCTTGAACTTTCGATTATGTCAAATAGAATTCCGATGCTGGAACTCCCAAAGGATCTACAAAACGAAAGTATGTTTCGATGTCCATCAAACAAAAAGTGGAATTGCTGCCAAAGATGAATAAAGGCATATCCTTTGTTTATTTACCGTTCCGAAATCTGTTTATCAATTTCACGCTGCTCTGCGCGCGGGGGGGGGGGGACATCGCGGCGCGCAATGAACTGGAAGTTGATCTGTCAGCACTGTCGTTATCTTCGGGGCAGATGTTTTTATTTTATTTGGCTTATAATTCCTTACTAAATGTAGTATTTCATCTCGATGTACTCCGTCTTTGATATGATTTAAATCAAATTCCTCGTCATTATAAATATCACGAATACAAATCAAATAGTTTTCTGGTTGCAATTTTCTAATTTCAGATATGCGTAATGTATGCTTTACGCATGTGCGCGTTAAAAGAAATGTTTAATAAAGTAAACAAATAAATATTAAGCTTCTTTTTTTGTAAATTTTGATACCCTTTAGATCGTAATTGCTCATTATTTTATAAATTACGGTTTCATATTTTTAATTTTATAATTTCTGCATGCCATCTTACCAGATTTAAACTGATGATCTATAATCCGGAGAAATCGATAATCCGGAATCGCCGAAGTCCCGATGAGTCCGGATTAAAGACTTTTGACTGTATTAACTCCTTGGATAATATGGTAGTTATCAAAAGCAGAATGTCATGCTCTTGGGTACTATGAAACAAACATATCTGTGACTATATAGCATCTTTATGGGATACAGGCACTTAAAATCCATAAAACCTGAAATCCTCCAGAAATGTTAGTTATTGGGAAAGATAAGTTTAAAAACTTTTGTATTATATTCTATAGGGTGTATAAAAGAAGAGCTGTGATAAAATTACTACACTAATTATAATAAACATACCTGTATATTATAATAAATGTACTTTTTATTCATGTAAATTGCTATTCATTAATAAGTATGAATTTGCCATATATTTTGGTGTAAAACACACATTTAAAATAAAAAAAATAAGATCAAAAGTTACGGATGTGCATTATATGCTGGTTATAAAAACAATAGATTTAAAAATAAAGAAAAGATGAGCATACAAAGATTTAGATTTCTGCATGTACCTAAGTGTGTTTATTTAGAAGAAATGACATATTTTATGTGCTTGAAATTTTTTTTATTTAATAACATGAAACGTTCATCATATTCGTCTTCTCTTGTATCGTCAGGCACTTCACTGAGTTCTGTTTCATCTTCCATATCATTATTACTCTGATCCGTAAATAAATAATCATCTTCTATTTCATCTAGATTGTTAGATATGCTGCATTTTTTAAATGACTCTTGAATTATTTTGGTTTAATATCATTACATGTTTTTATTATCCACTCACACACTATTTCTAGATTGACATGATGCATTTGGCCTCCATTTGTAAATGTTTTTTTCTGCCTTCTAACATCCACATATTCCACTGCTGTTTAAAATTTTCTTTGAATGGTCTGTTGATAAAGGCTGAACTAATGACATTAATCTGCTTGGACTAGCTGCCATGTTCTGTATTACACACTTTTCAACAAATTTTTCGTATTATTCATTAGATGGGATCTGAACATGTCCAAAACTAAAAGATTTTCTGGATTCTTGAAGGCAACAAAACACTTTTGCCAAACATATCCTATTCACAATTTCACACCATTTTGTCCATCCATCCTTCCTCGTGAACATGAATAAAAGCACCGTTTGGGAAATTACATTTTGGCATCGTCTTTCTTTTAAAACTAATCATTGGTTTCAATTTTGTACATCTGCTAAACAGGAAAGCATTACAGCTAGGTGAAATTTTTCATTAACTGTTGTTTCTATGTGAATCATTTTGATTCCTTTTGCATCAGTTGCTTTCATATATCGTATTCATTTCCTATCATTCCTTCATATTCATTTCCTATCCTATCTGGTTATGACAAAAGTTTTCCAGCAAATAAACGTCCTTAATAAAATTAGGGAGGAAAAAATAAAAGTACTGCCTTTGGTGTGGGTAGTAATCACCACCCAAATCTATGATTTTATGCCAATGTTTTGGTAGTATTTCAAAGTCTTTGGCCCAGAAACTTGGTGGCCTAAGTCCAAAAACAAATCAACCTCATTTTAAACATCCTGTACAGAATGGAAGATAGCACCAGCACAATGCAGCTGCAGGTTGAAAAAGGTAGAGGTCTGAAGGAGTGATGTCCGGGCTATATGATTGGTGTGTGGTAAAAGATCCATCCCATTTGAGTCCATACAGAATCCAACTGGTAAATGTAGACACATGTAGTCTTGCATTATTTTGATGGAACATTATCTTTTTGTGCTGGAACTCAATTTAATGATTTTCCTTATTGTAGAAAGTTTTACCTTTTTCCAAATTTTCTTTGTGTATAATACCACAGCAGTCCCACCGGGATACAAAGCATGATCTTGTTGTTAGTCAAATTGCACTTTGGAATGCTGCCGATGGAGTCACTGAGAGCAGACCAACCCCCTTTTCTGTTTGTATTGTTGAAGTAAATCCACTTTTGATCACAAGTGACGTTCAGAATTTTGCCCTTGTGTTGATATTCGAGCAGATTAGTGTGGGGCGAATATGTCTGTCCTTATCTACTTGAGTCAGCTCATGTGGCTACCAGTGATTGAACTTGTATGTCAAGTTTATGCGATGCATGGCGTGAGTAATGGACATGGCACTAACATTTACCTCCTTAGCAAGCTCTCGAGCTGTTGCATACTAATATTCTTCCACAATTTTTCGCAGATGGGCCTCATGAGCATCAGTAAGCCAACCAGAGTGCTCTGCTTCTTAGATATCATAATCCTTGTATCTGAGCTTTTGGTACTAAACTTTCACAGTGCCATAAGATACAACATTAGTACCTGATGCTATACACAGGATTTGGTGACATTCTGTAGCTGATGTTTTGCAACAGAACTAGAAGTGAATGATGGTTCTAACTAAGTAGTGTGAGAGTTCCATTTCAGACACCTTGTACTTAATGATAACAATATTTTTTTATTAAATTTCACAAGACATTGTTCTAAAGCAAGTCTCTTTCTTTCAAATGCCAAAAATCATTTGACAAAATATGTTTAAACACACCAACACGAACTGTTTGCATAGATGATAATTGCAGTGGCGAAAAACTTTCATTAAAACTCGATGTTAAACACTCCTGAAGTTTCATCCATATTTTCAATATGTGACGGTATTTTTTTTTTTTTGCATTAGTCAGAAATATGCTTCTAAAACTTATCAATTTGTTGCCTAAATCTTTCATAATCCTTTGCGAAACTTGTTTTTTTCGTAGAGCTAAATTTTTCCTTGCCATAAATCGACTATGCCAACACAGAGTTGCTTTAAATTTTTCACTTTGATTTGCATTCTTTTTTGTCCATTTTAAGGCAAATAAATATATAGTGTTTCTTGTAACAAATACTCCATTCTGACTATTTTCTAGGATCCAGTTCATGACACTTTCTTCTAGGATAGGCCATTTTGTTACTCCTTTACACAAAACACATTTATTCTTTGCATATTTATCATTATGATATTTTTTTTCCACTTGTGTGTGGAGCTTTCACCAGCACCAAACCTCCTTGCTGCAGCACAATTTGTATTTTTTTCCACAGGTTGAATGACTTTGCATCTGAAGCCAGTACTTTGTTTGTTTCGTTTGGCCAAAGTTATATTTTCTGAAAGAAACACTAGATCAACTGCATTTCAACTAAAGCAAATGCAATTTAACAAAGCCTTCAATGTTAACTTCAAAATCACAGCTTCAGATGACTACAGAAAGAGAAAACATCTGAATCCTAATTCTGCAAAGTTATTCAGATCAGAAGTGCATTCTTATTCCAAATTTTGACCCCTTTTCTTGAAGCCCAAGAATAACATTCTTCTGCACACCTGCATTACATACAAGACACTCTCTTTGCAGAATTATTTACTCCCTCAATCGTTTCTCCCACACTCATTTTGTTCCTCTTATTACTGTTCGATGCAGTATACTATTGTTCGAAAGCCTGGGAAAAATCTTTGAATGAATGGTTTCAAAAGATAAGAGCGTACATTATCTTTTGGGTTTCTTCATAAAGAAAAAGGTAAATGTACCTAAAAATTAATTAACATAGGTTGAAATTATAAGTGCATGTTATATGCCAGAATATGCAGAACATGTGAAGTAATGGTTAAAAATTGTTTGAAATTAAAAAAAGAAAATTTGTCACAAAATAATATGTATTAGTTAAAAATTTGCATTTTAGCATTTGAAGATTTTTGTAATAGAAACATTATTTCAGTTTCATTTCTTCACTACATTGTATAATGTGACAAACATGTTGTGAAAATTTAATTCAAAGTTGTTTGTTTGTTTATTTTTGTGCATACAGCGGTGAAGATAGGAAAAAATTTTATAACATAATATGAAAATGAAAGTGAAAGGTTTACATATATGATAGTAAATAATATTTAATACTTAAATGTAGGAAAGCATAGATGTATGTTTGTACACATGCAAGAAAAACTCTTCATTTATTATATTAAAATGCTAAAGCAGCATTAATATTGCTGATGATCTGTTAGTGAATTATGTGTTCAGTGAGTAATATGCTGTGTTACTTGCATATGTATTAAATTACTTTCCCGAGAGGTATTTAACTAGGTTTCACATAAATATACTAAGTATTGCATAGTCAATTGCTTTCTCTATATTTGCTTTAATATATATATAAATATACTAAGAATTTAATAAGAAAATTGTGTTTTTATGTAAAAAGATAAATCTTTTTTATGTCTTGCAGTAAGGTATTGCTCTTCTACAAAAAGAAGTCTACTCAGATTCACTCATAACTGCATGTGGCTTTTGATGAGGTACCATTTCAGTTTTCATTCAGGCCACAAGATAATACCAGCCTATTACAATTACTCCTTCCTTCCTTCCTCAATGGCGCGAAGCCCAGGGTGGGCCCTGGCCTTCTCAAGAAGCTTTTCTGGGCCAGTTGTCTTCAGTGTAGCATTTTCCAGTTTTTGGTAGGTCATTTTCTAAGCAGTCTAACCATCTTAAGATTTGGTCTGCTTTTTTTCCATGTGCCTGTTGGTTTGGCATTGAAGAATTTTTTTTTTTGTTTTTTTGTTTTTGTTGTTGCATGGTCTTCATCTATTCTGATAACATGGCCTGCCCATTTTATTCCTTGGCATTTAATGAAATTAATGATTTCAGATTCATTATATGAGTGATCTAACTCCAAATTTGATCTTCTAAGCCACACACCATCTTTTTTTTTTATATCCCTCCAAAAGTACTTCTCAAAAACCTTCCTTTTTAAAATGCCCAACATATCCTCATTCGTGTGCATAATAGCCCAAGTTTCACATGCATATATCAAAATTGGTCTTATAAAGCTCTTATACAGTAAAACCTTTGTATTTCTTTGAATTACACTTGATTTCATATATTTTCGTATTCCATTGAACCATCTATTGGCTGCAGTGATTCTCTTTTGTATTTCTGTAGTAATATTGGTCCTGTTAGCTTCAGAACTTAAATATGTGAAGCTGTCAACAGTTTCAAATTTATATTCTCCAGTTTCTAAGTGAGTGTCTTTGAAGTCTGTTTTAGTGAAAGGTATATATTTTGTTTCATTTTCATTAATTCTCAGGTCCATCCTGAGAGCCTCCTTCTCTAGAGATATAAAAGCTTGTTCTAGCAATAATAATAATGCCATCAGCAAAAGCCAATAACTGTAGCAGTTTATTAAAGATATTTCCTCTGGTACTGATGTTTGAATTGCAGTTGTTCAGTATCATTTTATATGCTAGAACTTTTGTATTAAAGATGTTTCTTTTATTATTGATGTTTGAATTACAACTGTTCAGTAACATTTTATATGCTAGAACGTTTTTGCATGTAATATGAAAGTACTGATAATACACGTGTTTTGAACACAGTGAACAGTAAAGTTCACTGTGTTCAAAACACGAGAAGTAGTAAAGAAAATAGCCTTATATTTGTCTTCTAATACTGGTATTTGACATTCTTGTGATGTATTCTTAATGTCACTATTTAATATTCAGACATTTTAAAATGTATAAAAGTATGTTGTATACATTGGAACTATGACACATAATTTAGAATGTTCATGTTGCATTCTTTACAAATGCATTTTGCATATGTCATTATTGAACATTTTCTACACATTACAAGAAAGTAAATGCTAGTAATTTAGTATATGCTGTAGAAGTGTAACATGTTGATATAATTTAGAACATTCTCTCAAAATCTTTCTAACATATATTTCCAAAATATTATCTGTTTATTTCATGAATATTCTTGTGCTGATTGTGTGAAAATTATCAAGCATTTGATCAAAATTTCCCATTTCATTGAATTGTTTAATTGCCTGATCACACAAGTGGCACATGTATTCAATGTCATAAAACCATAAATACTGTATCACCAAATTATATTATACATTATCAAGTATTACTTGTATAAAAGTGTTATTAGATGATGGAATTTACTTTAGAATACAATAGTTTTATTTTGAAATTACTGAATACTGAATTGAAATTTACTGTGTTTAGTGAAAAAAGGCAATACATATTTTGTGTCATTATTGCTGTGAAAAAAGAGTACTTTCTGATTATCTGTCCAACCATCCCGAAAAGTTGCCAATCATTGATAAGTAATTTTTTGCAAACCAAAGACAAAAATGGCAAGAGCTGTTTTCAAAAATGGTGATACCTTCCCCCCCTTTCTTTGTTCTCATCATATGCACAGTTTTAGCTTCAAGAACATCAGAGAATTTGAGAAATGTAGCATCACACACAACATGGCACTGTGCATGTTTTTGTTTCTCCATGTACACAGTGATCTGTTTTTGCTTAATTGCATCTATTTGGCATCACACATACTGTTCCTCCCCCCCCCACACACACACACTCAGTGAATAAGCAAAAACAATGATCTGTTTTTGCTTAAAAAATTGGAGAATTGGGCAATTTGAAGCATCAGCACATAAGTACGATCACTTTTGAAGTGAAGTTTCTTGGAATAAAAATGCACAAACTCATCAAACACTTATCAGAACAAACACAAACAAAAAATTTGAAAATTTTGTGGTTTTTAGTTGAATTTCAAAAGCCAGAATCCCCATACATGTGCCTCATGAGCACACACAACTAAGTTGCCCCATAAATACTTTTCTGTAGCTTATGGGTTGCCTATCTTGACAAATCAGAGTGCTGCTCGGTGAACTATTTTTGAGATTCTGTGGGTTATCAGAAAGTACAGAAAAGTTTCAGACTATTTTTTTAAAAAAAATTTCGTTAACTTGTATATAGTAGGCAACACTTTATGTAATTCTGTTTACTCATGACTATTTCGGTAATATTAACCGAATGATAACATTAAATGATGAGAAAAATATCTTTCAAACTATCAGTAGACTTTAATTTAATACAAATATGACTAGAAACGTATAAAAACTTACTTTCACAGTATCTTGATTAGGGGAGAAAATATTAGTTTATTATCTGGAATTATTACACAAAATTTCAGTCGTGAACTGTTCATATTCATAGTTTTATAATTATATTCTGGAAATTTGTTCCAGATAGTGACAGGCATTTTCTTCTGTCATTGTTGGTGCAAATTTTTTTCCACCCAAGTGTTGAACCCCCTCAATCCATGTTTGTTTTAGACATATTTCTTTATTCAACTTCCTATATTTTATCATTTACTAAAAGGTTGGCATATTTAAAATGTATTTTTGTTTTTTCTGGGATGGGCTCCAAAACTTACACTTGTTACCTGAAATCAACAGAATATAAATTCTTTATCTTCCAAATAGTTAAACATTTAATATGCATTATTATCTTTCAATTAATAAATATTTAATATATATTAAATTTAAATTGTTATAAATTGTTTGATTTATCTTCCAATTTGATTTAAATTATTAAGAAATAATTGTATTTCTTAACAATTTAAATGTTTATTTTATATTTTAATTAAATTTCCAATTGATATAAATTATTTGCTACATTTTTGTAATTACTAAAAGATATTTCTGATACCATATATAATATATATATGTTGCAAAATTATTTAAATTTTCTCTCTTTGTTGCCTTTAACCTTTTAAAATCACTGATTCTTACCAAAATCACTGGAGCAGAAAAGTAGTTCTATGGTAAAGAGATGCAGTTTCATCTAGAGATTTTTAGAAATTACATAAAATATAATATTTAACTTAATAGTTGTAACAATATAATATGAATAATATTTTCAGTTACTCTGAACCCACAAATTTTTCTCAATATTTGTACATTTTAAAGAAAAAAAATAGTATGTTTATGTGTCTATTATTGTTTAATTTTTATTCATTTTCATAATCTCTTTAATATTCTTCCTTGTCTTTTTTGTAACTGTTTCTGTGTGTATGAGCAGTGCAAACAGGTGCTATTCCAAATATTTTTCTAGAGTTTCTGAATATTGTTAGTGCATTTATAATTTGTGATTTTTGTATCTTGCGTTAATACGTAGTAAAATTTTTGAATTTTTTATGAAATTCATTTTATATAGCTTTTTAATTCAGTTGAGAATTGAACGACACACTCAAATAATCTCGCGCATGGTAATACTTAGACTCTGTAATTTGCTGATTCACTGTTACAAATTCACTTTACTTTTGCACTTTAGCGCTACATACTGTTACATTTCAGAACTGACACTAAGATGCTCTTTTCACTTAATGGAAAAAATCGTGCAATTTACACACAAAAATACATGTGGTGGTTTTCGCATATGGTGCAAATATACAGTAAAATTGTAATTAAACAAATTAATGACATAATCTGTTAATAACATAAAAATAAACTGACAAGCTTGGGAGCTTTTACAGATGTCTGCTTTTAGTTGAATCTAATTTAGTTGGACTTAATTTGAATAAACTTAATGAACTGATGCAGCAAATTCGTATTAAATATTCAGCTTCATTTTATTTCAGTTAATTATGCCATTGTAGAATTTTATAGTGCCCGCCAAAAAAAAAAAAAAGTTACTTTTTTTTTTTTTTTTTTTTTTTTTTTTTTTTTTGTTATTATTATTATTTTTTTTTAATATGAAAATATAGTATTCAAAATTTCTTTTTCAATCTAGGTACAAACTGTTGCAAATGCCATTCATAATATTAAATTAAAAAGAGATGCATTAAAAGTTCCTACATTGCAGTTGTTTGATGTCCTTGTAAGTATAATAATGAAGAAACTTTCTTGTGTTTTATGTTATTATTATTTTTTTTTCCATTTTTCATTTTTGTTGATTAGATTAAAACTTGCCTATTAAATTTATTATCTCTTTAGTTACATTATGACTATCTACTTTCGTATTGATGAAAAAATGTTATGAAGGATAGCATGATGCATAATTTATAATGCCATTTTGAAATTCAGCATTCAAATTGGCATTAAGGACAGCTAAAATCTTAAAAACAGTTTTTTTTTTTTTGTTTCAAGTTATATGATCAGTGCAGTACTTTTGTATTAGCACAACTGCCTAGGCATGGTTTGGTGAATTTTATAGAAGAAAAAGAATGATCACTTACAACTGATAAAAAATTATTTATTACATACAAGCATATTATTATAGATATATTTTATATTTTAACTTGATATTTTTCTGTTGGAAATTTTGTGGCGATCTTTCTAAGAGATGCTAAGCAATTGCTTCCTGTATCAATTTTGTGCAAAATAATGTATAACTGCAAAATTTTAGCAGTTTCTTTCAATGCATGCAAATCCCACAAACACACATTTTGAAATTGAGTTTAAGGCAAAATATATCATGATTTTTCTCTAAAAGCAATTGAAATTTATAATGCAATAAAAAGAATGCATACAAAAATAAAGACATTGTTCTTTAAAACTGAAAAATTGTCATGCACATGTGGTTGCTAGAGTTTGATGTTTTTTAAAATAATAGTGATTTTTACTAAGGTGATTACGATAGCACATAAGTGGCCACCAGTGCTTCTGTTCTGTCATTCATTGGGTAAAACTTTCAGTTAAGAAATACAATCTGAAATATCAAATTAGGTCTGAGTTTATTTGACAATTTTTGGTTATTATTGCTGCTGTGGAAATAGTTAAAACTGAATAATTTGTATAATGCAACAGTTAATTATTGTGGCAATTATACTTATTAAATATAGTAATTACAAATTATATGCATGATTTAGCATTGTTGAGTGGTGCTTAATCCGGTGATCTTTTTGATGAGGTAATAAATGCTGTTGTATTTCATTAAAGGTGTGTTGGAAATTTGTTAATTCCAAACAAACAGTATTAATACATGTTCAAATGTTCTAACCTCCCAATTTTGAACATAATTCTTTCTGTCAATCACAGCATATTTTTCCTGGTTTTCTCTTACTTCTGATTTTTATCTAACTTCATTTAATATTTCATTACTTGCACACAGAAACAAGATTTTTGAAATTTCTTTAAAACTCTCTCTCTTTTTTTTTTCCCATACCTTCTGTATTTTTTTTAATGACTTCATCAACAGGAAACTACTACTATGCATGTGAGAGTTGATATATCTAGAAATATTGTGTTTCAGTTCTTCAGTGAATATGTGGCATTGGTGAAAATCATCTTGTCACATGAACCAATTAACACAAAGCAAAATCAAAGCTTTTCTCTGCATTCCTGTCTGTCACAAAACCATGTGAATTTCTTGTGCTTGAGAAATTTTTAAGGGGTTATTGTAATAGTACTCAAAGAAGAGAAATGTAGCATTAAATCACAATTCAACTCAAACTGCTGCTGCTGAAGATATAACTGAAACTGTTAATATGGTGCATCAAAATATTTTGCTAACAGATTTTATTACTGACACCATGACTTAGGTTAGATAATGAAAGACTGGAGGGAGAATTGGCTATTCTCCTGTTAGTTCTTCTTCAGAATTGGAATGGAGCAGATCATGTCATTTATAAGGTGCTCATGGCCACGATCAAATTCATGAATATGATCTGATTTTACTATGAAACAAGTGAGATAAGAAATAAGTCACAATAATATTTTTCTATTGCTGCAAAGGGTATAAATAAAAGGGATTTAATAATATTAAAAGGATACAATTTGTCATCTCTTAAACAAGTTTCAAATATTTTTAAGATTGCACTTTATTTGGTCTACTTAATAGCTATAAAATCATTAAAAGTTAAACTTAATTTATATTATGAGATGTATTTATTATTTTTGATGATTGGACATTTTCCCAAAATGATTTGCCACATCATGCCACAAGAATAAGATATATTAGTGTTGCTGATGGTCACCAGCAGGCTGTATGTTATGTATGGCCAATTGTTTTTGATGACATGTGTATACGAGGTGCCCATAATTTAATCACCGGACGACAAAATTAAATTGAAACATATTTTTTACAAAGTAACATAAAATAATTTACATTGATATAAGCTTTAGTTCAAGGAATTCCTTTTATTCTAATTTTAGGAAATGGCAACAGGGAACTTGTTTGTTTTACAGACAGAATGACATCACGCCTTGAAAAAGCAATGTGTACTCTCCAGTTATGGGAAAGGAAATCTCTGAAAACAGTTTAGACTTAATTCTGATGTAAATTTAACAAATCTCTACCAATAGCACAAACAGTTAAATGATTGGGGGACGGGCCAGGCGTTAGTGATGGAAATGTTTCTGCCATTTGAGATGTGTTAGTGTGCAATCCTAGTAAAACTATTTGCCATGCCAGCCAGAAAACAGGAATTCCCAGGTCATAAAGTTGTTCAAGAAACTGACTTTGTATAAACTGCAGATTCGTCAACAAATCAAACCTATTCAGTAAACCTATTCAATTGAGTATATTGTAAGGAATTTTCTGTAGACATTCTTGACCGTATCAGTAATGATGACCAGTTCCTCAGAAAATCTTATTTAGCAAAGAAACAACACTTCATGTTTGAGGAGAGGTTAACGAAAATAATTGTAGGATTTTGGTGTCAAAAAACCCACATTTTGTAAAGGAAATTAAGCAAGGTAGCCCTAAGGCTCTGTTTAGACAATAGTATAAATGTCATAGAGGCATAGTCATAAAGCCTAAAAATGCAAGAATTCCATTCACACCTGTGAGACAATATCTAAGCTGCTGCGCATGCATGGATTGTGTGTACAGTTTTCCTGCTCGATAGGTTTTGTGTGTTTGCTGTGTTTGGTCAACTCTTTTTCCCAAGTCAGTATACAATTGAAAACTTCAAACCTAATGCCAAAAACCCTGAATCAGTTTCTGTGACATAGGTTTGGTTAGTGAAGCTTAACTTGAACCAGATATAGCATTTTTATCACCATCTGAATGGAGCCTTAAGTTAACGTTTAATGCACGCTAACTCATAAGAAAGTGATTGGTCTCTTCTTTTCTCTGAGCCATCAATTAATATGAATGATTACTTCGATATGCTGAGATTGTTTTCAGTACCACAATTAGAAGAAATTTAGCTAAACGTTTTTTCTAACAGGATGGGGCCCCATGTCATTGGGCTACACATGTACATGTTCCTTGATAAAATATTCCCAAATCGTTGGATTGGTAGAGGTGGACCAATTTCATAGCCACCCTGTTGTCATGACATCACACCACTCTACTACATTTTCTGAGGATACCTGGAGAGCCAAGTTTGTGCTACAGAGATATTTGCCACATCAAAGAATTAAAAAATCCAGTCACCACAGAAATAACTGCTGTGACTCCACAAATTTCTTAATAACCTCTGGACAGGAATCGGGAATGGACTTTATATTCTCTGAGCAACTAATGGTGCTCATGTTGAAGTGTGTTAGAATAAAATTCTTTGAAATGCTAAGTAAAATTCAGACAGTCTCTTTCCCCTAGCTCTTATTCTGTATTATTTAAAACATATATTTGTCCGGTGAATAAATTATTGACACCCTGTATTATATTCAGTTAAGTTTATTGTTCTTTAAGTGGCTTTTGCTAGCATATTGAAAACATGTCTGAAAAAGTCTGTTTCATTTGCTCTATCTTTATATGGCGGCAGGTTCCATCATAGTAAAAAATAATTAAAATATTTTCCCAAAAAAGAATCTTTCTAAAAAAGTTCATGAAATGGTATGTGAAATTAGCTAGGGCAATTACATTTAGAGTTGTGTGGTGTTTAGTAAGGTCTAACATACTACACAGGCCAAAAATTCTAATTTAATTGCAGAAACAAAAGGGGAAAATTACCTGCAACAATTACCTACACACTGATTTTATTCTAAAAATTAAAAATTAATAAAAAATGAAAGCATTTTTGTGAATAGCATTCTGCCATAAATTTAATAATTTATTCATTGCACTATAATCTGCCCTAATGCAGTAGGAAAAATATGTATTTTACAGTTTACAATTAATTACAGTTTATAAATACATGCATACTAAATAAGCAGAAAAACTTTTAAAGTTCCTTTTTAGAAATTTTTAATGAAAAAATTGTATTATAAATTAAAAAGTAGTAATTTGAAATACCAAAGAACTATCGTTAAAATATGCATAAGAATTAATGAAAAAATCAGTTGTAGAAACCAAAGCTTCAAGAAAGTGCAAAAATTCCAAAGTATTATAAATATGGAAAAATGCAATAAATGGATGAACCAATGACCAATAAAACTACACCCCCCTTTTTTTTAAAAAACGAGTAGTAAGTAGTAGTAGTAAGTACGCGAGTAAGAGTGAAAACGCGAAGAAAGTAATAATAAAAATTTTATTTTAATTTACTTCTACTGCAAGATTAATTTTCAAGTTTCTGTTTCATGTTGTTTGCCATTTTTGATATATTTTTTTAATTCACATTAATTTTTCAGATTTTGCATGACGTCAATAATTTTTAATTAAGTATTTTTCAACCATTGTTTTTAATAATGTACATTTCAACCATATAAAACTAATAATTTTAGGGGCATTGACAATGTTGCCATGTATTGCAGATTTTGATACATAATTGCATGGCTTTTTTTTTTTTTTTTTTTTTCCTGAGGTGGCTAGAAGGTTTTATTTTCCTTGTTGTATAAATTTGACATATTCCTTTTTTTTTTTTTTTACAGTACTATCAAACCTCTGTAAACTCTCACCTGTGCTATCCGAGTGACAGCTTAAAGACATTTGATTATAACAAATGCTTATCATGTTTCAAAGTTTTTTTTGTATATCGCATGATTTGTCAAATAAGCTAAAAGTTTTTATGCTTACTGAAAACAATATATTAATACTTTTTTGTTTATCACTGTACCAAGAATAATTATTACATCTTTTTTTTCAGTGTTCTAAAATGCCTCAGTAATTTTACTCATATAGCTAGCTTATTTTATTTATTTCAGTCAAATAGTGAGCTGTACTTAGTCACTAGTATTTTAATTATTGTATATTTATTAACAGATGGGTGTTAATACTAGTATGTGAAATTTTTTCGTTATTTACGTTTTTTTAAAAAAAATTTTAAATACTTTTTTGGAAAATTTCCTAATTGCAGCATAAAAATATTTTTTTATTTTTAGAGGAAAATAAAAAAAGGAGAAGACCTATGTGCAGATACTTCAAATGGTAATTTAATTACATATATTTTTTAACAGTATCCAGTATTTATTAGCAGTTGACATAAAAAGTGCGCATTTTTTACCTATATATTTTATTTTAATGAATTTCACACTTTATTCATATGAATGCTGTACTAGGAAATGTAGGCTACAAAAAAATTCTGATAAACTAACTTGCTGCTGTGTAAATAATTTTATAATGCTTTAAAACAATTAATATATTGAAGTATAAAGTAGAGATCACTGTATATAGCATTTTATGGTTAAGTGGTTATCTGCAGTCATTTGAACATTGATTTAACTAGTACTTATATATTAGCGCTTTCGTCTTGGCACATTTTGGGGATATGCTACAAATGAAAAGGTTGCTCACAAACTTGTCGTTGTACATGAGCTATTGACTGAATGCGTTTCATCATTGCACACAGAATATTTAAATTTAATCACAATCAAATTAATTCTCAATCACCATTGTAACTGAAACATTTTCCTTTTTTGTACTATATTTCTTCAGAAGTTTTACTGCAGTTCCTTCCATTGCTGTTAGATTCTGCAAGTGCATATTTTAAAAAAATGAGGTTAAGGCAAATCATTTGTCTAGAAACCATTAGAACTTGGAATAAACAAAAGATCATATGTGAAAATGGTGATGTTGCTTGACTGAAGTATTGTTATGTACATGGTTGCCTGAATTTGGCACATTTGGGTACATTCTGAGAATTTGGTGACTTCTACTAAAGTGGTTGTGAGACCATTTAGAAGGCAGTTTAAAGAAAATGCTCTATGCTAATGTAAAGAAACAAGAGTTACTTGATATCATTAAAAAAGATAGGTTCTAGAAAGTAATAAAGAACTTGACATTTTAATTTAGGATGACCATAATTGCTTGAAAATAAGACCACTTTACATTTTAGAATAAATGGTGTAAGAAATAAAAATGTAGGTGAATACTTGAAGAGAGCATGCTTCTAACAGAAACTCATTTGTTCCTGGTAAGAATGAAACCCAAGCTACTACTAAATACAATATTTTACTATGGTATAGGAAGAAAAACATTCCTATTTCTTTTCAGACATTCCAGCAACCAGTACAGCAAGTGCAAGCCTAAACTGAAGTCACTGAAATGGGTGTGATTATTATAAATTAGCTGAGTATAGTAATCACTAATCAGAATATATGCTTATATTTATTCAACAGCCTGGTTTTATCCAAACTTATTGCAGTAAACCCAAAGTAGTGAGGCCTGATTATAAAGTATACAAATAAAAGAGATTATTATTGCAGTTTTATCTTACAAATTAGTTAATTAATCATTTATTTAGGTAGGAAGAATAAATTTGAAACTGCACAAGAATTGTCTTTATATAAGGAATTATTAAACAGTATATATGTAATAATTGTTATTACCCACAATAACAAGTTGTTAAAATAATGGTACAATATGTAGGTAATAGTAATATTAAATCAAAGTAGACTAACTTTTAGATCTAAATATAGTTCTTACAGTTAGCAGTAATCTGTAGTGGGCAACTCTAGTTCTCTTTTAATTTATTTCCGCATGGTAAAGTTTTATAACCACTTCGATGAGCACAGTTGATTTGCCTTTTTATACACTTGTTTATTTTGTTTGACACTGAGTGTTTGCACATGCTGTACTCCTAGCTTCTAAATTTTGATTTCCCACTTAAATTTGAGTTGTCTAAATGGCTGCGATGTATTTTTGGGACATTTAACAAAATAAAATGTTCAATCATAATCACTTTCAGTTTCTTCCCAGTAGTTTCAACCAATTTTTTCACTCCTCTCTTCTGTTTTTCATGCACTTTTTAATGCTCCTTTATTTTTTCTTGGCTTTTGAAAATGTTGCAGTGATCGCTGGCATTATTCTCTCTGAAGCAATGCTTTGCTTTTAAGATGTGGGAATCTTCATATAACATGAACTCCATGATACATGTGAAGTTTCATTGAAATTGTGTGAACAAATATATGTCTTCTTTAAAGTTAGCAACTTGGTTTATTTTTTTTTCTCCCTTTGTGAATTCTCTTTCTTTACTACTGTTCCTAAACTGCTCCAAATTTTCTTTGCTGTCATTTCTTTCTAATATTATTGGTTAATAATCCTAACTTTAGTTCTGTTTCTGTGTCTATACAGACTTCATTCTATGACTGCTTTGAGCAGTTCCTTCTTTCTTCTTTTGGTCACTGAACAAAATGGTACTCTATTGCTCAATCTATGCTTAATTGTTGTATATCCAAGCACTAAAAACATATTCATTATCCTGGTTGCAGTGCTGCTTTCTTGTGATTGTAAATGCTGTGATCTTCCTAAACTGCTCCAAATTTCCTTTGCTGTCATTTCTTTCTAATATTATTGGTTAATAATCTTAATTCTTCTTCTGTTTCTGTGTGTATACAGACTTCACTCTGTGATTGCTTTGAGCAGTTCCTTCTTTCTTCTTCTGGTCTCTGAGTAAATGGTACTCTATTGCCCAATCTATGCTTAATTGTTGTATATCCGAGCACTAAAAATATTTTCATTAGCCTGGTTGCAGTGCTGCTTTCTTGTGATTGTAAATGCTGCGATCTTATGTATTATTTTACTGTCAGACTAAACATAGCTGAAATTTGCTTGATCAAATCTGCTGTTAAATGACATCTGTTAATCCCTTTGCAAAATATAAAGTGTATGGAAGAGCAGTTCCAGTGTCACTTTGGCAGCACATTTTGTTTTTAAAAAGGGAAGAAAATAATAATAAAAGAAATGTTGCATTATCTTGGTAGTTTGTTAATCATTTATATATTCCACATGCGGTTGGCCCACCAGCGGCCGAGCAGTAAAGTCGCTGAACACTGGTAGTTTGGTCCAAGGTTTGAATCCGCGAACGGGCTGGCTGCATGGGCGTTTTCGTGGTTTTCCCCATGTGTAACGTGTATATGAGCCAGTTTCCCTTAGAAAGTCCTCCACGAAGGCATCCTTCCCCTTAGGCAGATAGCCCCTAGTGTGCTTTGCCATAATTAAATACACACACCACCACATGCGGTTGAGAGAAAGTCAGTGAAGTCAACTTAATATTTAAGATTAAAAATCTTTTATAATGCCTGGTCATATAGCAGTGTTACAGTGCTGAGATGTTTTTCATATTACACATTTTTGAAAATGATGAAAAATTCCAGCTGCTAATCTAGGAATATGTTAACTAAAATTTTCATGTAGCTGTATTGTGTCATCCATATTGCCTATTAGTCTAATTCCCCCTAGAATTGTTTGAATCTAAACTTGTTTTGCTTTTTAACCATATTGTCACTCTCTTTATTGGATTTCTTCAATTTATTATTAAAGTTTACCTTTGTGTAGTAAAGTTCATCTTGGGAATCATTATTTTTGTGGTTCTGCATACTGTTCTTCATACTCTTTTACATTTTTTTTAATATGCTAAAAGTTTTTCAGTCATGATGCTGACATGCAAGATGAAAGGAAAAAACATAATATCACCTAGGCTAATAAAAAAATATGGCCTGTGGCAAAGAGTAGTGAAGAAGAGGCATATTCAGTAAGCAGAATGCTGCATGGAATTCAGTATTTTGTTGCTTTGGTGAAGCAGGAGGGAAAATTTTTGCTATCTATCATTATAGAAATTTTGACAAGTGTGCCATAGCGTTGTTCATTACACTAAATGCCTAGAAATATCAAGCTTGTTAGAAAGTACCAGATAATTTTCCAGTTATCTAGTTCTAGCAACCAGGCACATTGCAAAATGATGGGAAAGTTTGAGTAACTTTGGAGTAAGTTAGATTGTTCAGTTAGCTTAAGATATATCCAAAAATTTTTTGCAGTTTTCTGCATTTGTGGGATATATAATCTTGATGAGACTATACAGTAAAGTTTATTGGTGAATCACTCCTCTATCAATCATACTTGAGATTGTATGAGACACAATATCATCAGCCAAGGGGATAATATTGATTTGCAAATTTTATACTGTGATTCTTGATATTGTACCTAGAGCAGAGGTAATAAATATGATTAACCTCAGCATGAAGTTTTTCCATTTCTTCCTGCTCGTTTCATTTTGAATGGTATTTCAAGTATTCAGTATTGAAAGTAAGAATAATTTTTACTTTACTTCATTTTATCTTTTGTTTATATCACTTGTATGGATAACTTTTAAGGCCATCTTGTGTTTTATGAAGTGTGTGTGTTTTATTAAGAACTTTAGCTCTTTAGCTTTATGAAGAACTTTAGCTCTTTTTTGTGAAAGTAGTTTCATTAATTTATCTGAAAAGGTGTTATGATATGTGAAATCTTAATAAGAAAGTTAGTTTTAATTTACTTTCTTAATCAGACATTGTGAAGGCAAAGATCAAGTATCATACTTTCTTTCTTTCTTTCTTTTCTTTTCTTTTCTTTTCTTTTCTTTTTTTTTTTTTTTAATCTTGTCTTATATTGACATTTTTCCTTATAAGTAAGACTGATGAAAATGATATTTTCCATTTACTTAAATAGAAATTTTCAAGTCAAGGTAGTCTTATTTTAAATCATTTTAAGAGAGTATGTTAATAATTTTCACTAGTATATAAAAAAGTATATCAGTTAAAAGGGGAAATTTTGAATGAACTTTGTTTAAATGAGAGTAAACTTAACAGTGATACAAATCAATTTGCCAAGAAAGACACTAAGCCAAAAAGTAATCATGTTTACATTTAAACTGTAAACTTGTTGGCTTTGAAGGAAAGCAAATTGTTTTTTTATTTAATCCAACATTTTAAAAATACTAAGCAAATATATTCTAGCAAAATAAAAGAATATGACTATTTTATTGAAAAGTAACTATTTAGTTACAGTTTTGAATAGTATCTTAGGCAAACTAGGCAGGAAATTTCTCAAGTTGGCTTCAAATTCCTTAACCACTTTTTATTCTGTTGTCATTTTATTAATTTTCTATCAGTAACTGCTGATAGAGTTCATAATAATGTAAGTTGGTTAAGTCCATATTTTTGTGCTGATGTTAGTGTATTGTATGTAATAGTTTTATCTTTTATTATTTCAGTTGCTGTGTTAATCAAATTGTATATTTTCCTGAAGATAGGTTGCACTACATTACAAGGAATTTGGCAAAATTTCTTTATGTATTAGAAATCTGTTGCATGTTTTTGCTTGATAAGCCAATGTTCATCTACAATTATACCGTTTATATTACTCTTTTATGAAAGCTCCATGGGAATTTTAAAGAATCCAAGCAAAATGCCTCTTCTAGGTCATATACTTACAAATGAAGGAAGATTGCTGATCATTCTGCACTGTTCTGGTATATCCCTTGAAAATAAAGCTTATACCGTTCTTTTAGAAGCAATACATTTTTATACATAAATATATATTTTATATGCAGTTTTCTCACCATACTATCTTAGCATTTTGGACAAAAAGCATAAAACATATCTTTTATTATATAAATGGCTTAAAATTTTTGCTTTAGAATTTGTATTTATCCTTTTTTTTACAGTTGTATAATGAAAAATCTAATCTTGTTTGAAACTGTTTCAGCATTTTCTTCTGTCTTAAATAATGCAAGTTCTACAGAAAGTATGATTGCAGAGAGTATACCACCTGCATCGAATACCAGTGTTATATCTTCATTTAGTTTTAAGTTACCTACAGAAGTGGATTCAAGTTCTAAAATGAGTGCTTCAAATTTCAGTTTTAAATTGCCTTCAGATATGTCTACCATTCATGTGTCATCACCACAAGAAATAGAATCAACTATTTATACATCTTTAGAAAGACTTACAGCTGAAGAAAAAGAGCAATTTTCTGCATCTACTTTTACATTGGGAAAGATTCCCACAAACCCTCCTCCTTATACCATGTGTGTATGACTATATATATATTTTCTGTATATTATGTTTCTTAAGTTCAAATCTTCATTTGCATTCAAAGGAAGGGGTGTAATTTTAGAAGCAAATGAAGTCATAGTGAAAAATGTAAGAAAATAAAAGTATATACATCTTTTAAAAATTGAACATTTATCAGTCTCAAAAATTAGAACTGAAAGAAATCGGTATGTACCATGATAGCATAACTAGTCTTTCATTATGAACAGATTAGTCTTTCATTATGAAGCAAAATTAACTTATTGTTTTAAGCAGCTAACATGCAAATAAGACTTGATGAATTATACATTGAGTTTGTTTTAGAAAATAAAGATTCCTTATGACTTGCTAGGCTTGTTTTATTACTTAATTTGGAAGCAACCAGTTATGTCAGGTTGGAAAAGATCATTGTTGTCGAAATAAATGTATACATGAAGGTTCCATCCATTTTGCAGAAATGTTTTTAATTATTGTACATGGTAGAACCCAATCATCTTGTTTTCCTTTATTTAGGGAAAGGAAAAAAAAAAAAAAAAAAAAACTATCCACATTTTTCCCCCTGGGTTATATCAAATAAAGTTTGTTGCCAATTTGTTAACATATTTCACATTTTTATGGATTAAAATATTTTACATAAAGTCTAATCATGAGTCTTAAATTGTTTTGTTATTATATAACAGGTAACACATAAGTTCCACATATGAAAAATTACAATAAATACATAATAAATAAATGTAAACTTACCTCAAAGTACAACAAATAAGCACAAAGCAGCTTTGTTTGACATTTCAGCAGAGACAAGTGTGCCTACAGCAGTGTACTGGACACGAATGGCACCACATCATCTTTTCAGACAAATCCTATTTTTGTGTGCAGTAACATGATTGATGTATCCATATGTAGAGGCACTGAGGAGGACCAATGTTGCCAGCTTGCATTTACCATCATATGATCACTGTACTTGACGTGCTGATAATGGGGTTCTATTTAGTAGACATCCCGGTTACCTCTTGTTCACATAGCTAGAAGATAATGCATGACCACGTGTTGCCCGCCCATGCTGTCCTGAACATTCCTCAATACAGAGGGTGTTCAACAGTTGTCCTGGCCAACACATTCTCCAGATCTTTTACTCATTGAAAATGTCTGGCATGGGTTGCTGAGAGATTGGCAAGGCACCACTTGCCAGTCATTATGATTGATGAAGTTGCATGAAATTATATTCTGATATCTGTCATCCAAACTCAGTATGACTGACTGATGCACCTCAGTTTGACCAGGTGGATTTGTTGCTGCCAGAGGTGGCCACTCTGTATACTGAATTCTGTATGATATGTATCATAAACAACCTGCAAATTTAATTATGTTTTCTTCGATTATACTCCAAATGTGCAATAAATAAGTTTCTTCTATTTCCTATCCTTCCTGATGTAGCAATTTTATTGGCCAGAAGTAAATTTTAAAAATGAAATTTCCATTAGAAATTCATAATGTTAACAGAAATTAATATTATGGGTTATCATAAATAATAACCATTTAAAATGTGGAATGTGATGGAGAAATATATTATGAATATGAAAATTTTTCTAGATGTTGCACAAAATAAGAGAAAGTTACAGCATTATTTTAAAATATTAGAAACTAGAAGAGTTCAGAGAGGAATTGAGATTAGCAATGCTGTAACAGATTGTCATAATTTTTATAGCAGGTACAATTCAAATTAACAATATGTAAATAACTAATCTGGGATCTTTAATTCTACTCTGATTATATACAGGAGTTTTGGTTTAGTAGATTATGGCAAAGCACACTAGGGCTATCTGTCTAAGGGGAGGGATGCCTTCGTGGAGGATTTTGTAAGGGAAACTGACTCGTATACATGTTACACATGGGGAAAACCGCGAAAACGCCCATGCAGCCAGCCCGTTCGCGGGATTTGAACCTCGGACCGAACTACCAGTGTTCAGCGACTTTACCGCTCGGCCACTGGTGGGCGCATCTGCCTAAAGGGAGGAATGCCTTTGTGGAGAACTTAAGGGAAACTGACTCCTATACATGTAAAGCATGGGGAAACACACAAGAACATCCATGTAATCAACCTATTCACCTGCGATCAAACCCATGCTGGAATTATTAGTGTAGAGCAATTTTACTGCTTGGCAATTGGTGGCCCTTTTGCAGAGAAGGAACTTTTGAACTAGTTTTACCATAACAGTATCCACAGATTGCCACTTTCATTAATTTTCAGAAATAGGCTTTGGTATAGGGGATGACTCAGATAATTCGCTATTTGCAAAAGAAGCATTTGTAATTAAAGTAGTTGGCATCAACCCTTAAGTGGAAAGTCAAAAATAACTCAGTTCTTCAAGATTTGTGCAGGTTTCTAGAAGTTGATGCAAATGTTACTAAGCTTTTGATGGCCTTTGATAGTCATCAATAAGCTCAGTTTGTATTCCAGTTATTTACCGCAGTAGGTGCAAACAAATAGTTCACATTGAAGTTTTATGACTGACAGATATCACACATATTTGGGAACAAAGAATTGCTGAATATTGAAACTGCCAAAGGGTTAATCACACATTTGATATAATTTCAATTAATAAAAGCACTATAAAAATTGTGGTGGTAAACTGAACAATACCAAACACTTAAAACACTCTTTAATCTTCCAAACATTATATGTCCAGTCACTGTTATGTTGGCTGTGTGTCACATGATAAAACCAATTAAAAGTACTTTGAACAAGAAAGCTCATACTGTAGATAATAATGGCATTTCCTCTTAATGGAATTTTTTCAAGTAATTGTATTATATAAGCTATGGGATCTTTATGTTTCTTTGAATAGCAAGTCCAGATAAACATGAACAATTTATTAGGAAAATATACACAATAAATAGTGCACAAAGCAGAATAATGGCTGGAAATAACTCAAGAACACGGATATTCACACATGTTCAATAATAATAACACATGTTCAAGGTCAGTAGCATGTTCCTCCGATAAATGTATTTCATGCCTTTCGATGAGTACAGCCATCTTGACCATCGTAAGAGCCTTCCTGAAGGTATAACCTTCAGATCTGTCTCTTTTGGCAGTCTTCAGGGCTGTATTCTGCTCCATCCTTTGATACTGCCTTTTTTTCACCTTTTCCCTTGGGTGTTTGAACCCAAGGACCTTTGGCAATTTTCAATTCTTGGGCATATTTTTTTTTTTGTGCACCGGACATTCTGTTTTTGATTTTATCAAGGGAGGCAGTCATTTTTTTAATAGCTTCTTGTCCTTCTCCAGACGTTGATGAGTAACTTGAGTAGAGATTATTTCTACCTCTCTGGATGAAGGATTGATTTCTGCTCCTTCGATTGATTTCCTCTGGGTTTCCTTGTTTTGAGAAGAAAAAAGCTACCTCAGGTTTTACCTGCAAAAGCAGAATTTCAAGTTATATTGTCATTTTCAGCCATATATAAACTACAGGATAAAAAAGGTCCACCCAATATTGCCTTTTGCTGGGTAATGCAAAATACTGTATAAGTTGCCAGGCATTCTCTATTAAGACACTATAACCGCAGTGTCATTCACCCTAGGCACGGGTCGCATAACATCAGTGTTGCAGAAGGGATTCTTGGCTTCTTATTTATTATTTGAAGCTATTCTGTCTGATAATAGAGGACATCCTTCTTACCTCAACCTGCCGACGTGCTTGGTAGCCACTCAAACCCCACGCTCCTCAGTTCTCTGACCCATATTTATATTCAATAGCACAGGCTCTGAAAAAACTGGTAGCAGGCCTTTGAAAATGTAATTCATGAATCGTACAGAAAGGCAGCGAGAAATTGCCAGATGTCGTCTTCAGGAACAGAATTGCCTAAATCTCGAGTTTTAATTGAGCTATTTTTAAAGTTCCAAGACCATTGCACTCAAAATTGAAAGATCTATAATTCTTTGCGAGAAATACAAGGCATGCAACTAAGATTGCGCCTGCAGGGCTAGGGGAAGTGAGGCAAATGTCTTACATTACGTTCTCAACCGCCCACGCACGGCAGCTCCTAGTCTCGAGCGCATTCCAAATTTCAAAACTATTCTGCTCAATACACTTTTTACTGACTTTTATTACTTAATAGATATCAAAGCTGTCGTAGCACTCACATCAGTGAAGTTCAGCTCATCCAATCAATGGACGAAGAGCAATGTAATAGGCAACAAGTCTGATGAGGATTGCATAGGCTGCGTCATGTGGATATGTAATATGTAAGGTACCGAAATATGGAGAAAAATTTATTACAAAATTAAACTGAATTGGAACCAATTGTCAATACGCTTTTAAGTTTATAATTTTTAATTAAACCCATCGCTTTTCAAGTATATGTTTTGTGTCAATCTGAAGCACGTTCTGTCACTATTTCTCTGCACTGCAAAAAAATTCTGTCCAGTCACTGCTCGGGATTAAAACAAAGACTCTCCGATCTTATAATTATGACTGCAGTTAGTATGCATCACTTTTTTGCAGGCTTGTTTTATCTGGGAAAGGCACGTCTCTTCGCTAAGCTTCTTTTAGTATCTAAAATGTAAACTGTATACATAGAAATTGTGGGATGCTTTTAGCATCTATAATATTACACAGATTTAAGCAAAAATGTATCTCTGAAACATATTTTCTGTTCAAAGCAAAAATGATGTTTTAATGATCAAGCCATTTGAGGTTTTCTTTTTCTTTCTTTCTTTTTTTTTTTTTCCAGTCATATATATGCAACAGTTTTTTTCTTGTCTGTGTCTGAAACGTGACTTGGTTTCATCTTCTCCAGTCAACATTCTGCTAAACCCTATCAATGTGTAGAGTATCACCTTCTTTGGAAGCATATGCTAAAACGAGAGCCTAGCTGGACCTAAGTGACTTATTGCTATGTCCAGTAAGAAAATAGAGAAATAAGACTTTAAAATACCCTTTTATTGAGAGCTCGAATAGTTAGCAACAAGCCTGTGCCAAGCCTAATAGTTGCCGTTTTACAAATGTCTAGCGAGCGCCTTTACGCAGTGATGTCATTTGCTTATGGTTAACATTCAAAATGAAGCAGTATGAACATATGATATGAAGGAGAAAAAATTATCTTTTAATTTGTCTAAATATGCAAACATTTTGTGCTTTGTTGAAACCCACACTCTATTTATTGAAGAATTATACATGCATTTATGTTATAAAAAGCCGCCCAACCTGTATAGAGGTTAGCGTTGCTGACTGCGGTGCCGAAGGGCCCGGGTTCAAATCTCAGAGAAGACATGGATGTTTGTAAATGTATAATGTCTGTGCGGCACGGGGGCACTCTAAATATGCGAAGTGAAAGTCGACTTGAAAGGTTGGTGGTAGGGGAAGAGGGGAGGGAGACGCTTAGACCCGTGCCCCCAGGATGCTCTTCATCAAAATTGAGGGCGAAACTGAGCTAAAACACACCATCACCTGTAAGGTGCTCAAGGCTGCTGCCAACCACAGGCTTATCTTCTGCTTCTTTGCGTGGTTGCAGTAACAAGTTATTCAAAAGAAATAATAATTTTTTAAAGTGTATAGAAATGATCACAAAATTTGACCCTATCATGTCTGCATATATTTCAAACAAACAAACAAAAAATATGCTTCATTACCTTGAAGAT